TGACTATAGGGGTGCCTGAGCTAGTGGGCACCCCAGTCCCACCCTTGGAGGGTTCTACTACGCATGCACACAGATCTCCTCGAAATTTAAAGAGACAGTTTCCAATTAAAACCAAACGGCCACAGCCGGCCCTGAACTATTTCCAACTAGAAAAAAGAACTGAACGGGGATTGTGGAGTGGGACAAGCAGACAAAAGAGGAAATAGGCCAAAAATCAAATCCTAAATTACGTCAAAACGACCAACAATGGTATCTTGAAATATCTCAAGAAGACTGAAAAGGGATGGCTATTTCCTGATCACATCTACCTGGAGGCATTCAGAAAGCATAAAAAAATACCAAAATACATACCCATCTAAGTATTAACTCCACAGATAACTCCTGAAGATGCCCAAAAAACAGAAGCAGATGACCATCTCTGCACATGTCCAGAAACGAGACAAAATGTTCGTGGAAAAGTTTTCTCTTTTAATTCTATTTTTCCCAGGTACTTTTTTGTATTCAAATGATATTTTTTGAACTTTATATCTTATAAATGGAGGACATATATACTCCTGTAAGCAAACACCAAATTCCACACATCTGAAACTCTACTGGCCACATTCTTCAACCTGTTATAGACTGGGTTCTCTAGAGAAGCAAAACCTGTGAAGCTTATGTATGCATATGTGTGTCTATGTATCTATGTATGTATGTATGTATGTATGTATGTATGTATGTATGTATCTATCTATCTATCTATCTATCTATCTATCTATCTATCTATCTATATGGGAGTTCTGGTGTGGCACTGTGGATTAATGTGCTGGACTGTGAGGTTGATTCAAAATGCAAGGTTGGCAGTTCAAGCTCACCAGCTACTCCTCGGAAATCCTATACAGGGTTTCTATGGGTTGGAACCAACTTGGCGGCACTTAACAACACCAACAACATAGATCTCACAATAGCTGCTGTCTGTTCAAAAGTTGTTAAGTGCTGTGGAATCGATTTTGATTCGTAGTGAGCCTGTATAGGGTTTCCAAGGCTGTGAATCTTTACAGGAGCAGAAAGCCTCATCCTTCCTCTGTGGAGTAACTGGTAGATTTAAACGACTGGACTAGCAGCCCAGCTCCTAATCCAATATGCTACCAGGACCTCTTAGTCACACGTCTGAAACTAGTCAAGCTTACAATTGAACTCAGGCCTGTCAGACTCCTGTTGCTGTGCTTTGTAATAGCTATTCAACATGATGAAGGAAATGCAGAGGCAAAGTTTATCTTGGCTTTAACTGAAACCTGTTTTCCCGAGTTTTTTACTAATTTGCTTGTTTTTTCTCTCTTCCCTTTATTTCACACAATAAAGATTTATTGAGTACTTTATACTGCTCCTGGTGCGTGGTGCTGCGAGTTAATGCACTGGACTACAAGGTCAGCAGTTGAAACTCACCAGCAGCTCCTCAGAAATCCTGTTCAAGGTTGATATGAGTTAGAACTGATTCAACAGCACTTAATGACAATAACAACTGCTGGTGTGGCACTATAGGACAAACACTGGACTGGGAACCACGAGGTCAGTGGTTTAAACCCACCAACTGCTCCTTGGAAATCTCATATAGGGTCGCTATGAGTGGGAACTGACTCGTCAGCACCCAACAACAGAGGAGAACTGGTAGTGACGTAGGGTAGGCACTGGGCTGCTAACCTCAAAGTCACCAGTTCAAGCCCACCAGCTGCTCCACTGGAGAAAGACGAGACACTCTGTTCTTATAAACATCCAAGGGTTTCCTACAAAAGGTCGCTCTGAGTTGCTATCAATCAACTCAGTAGTCATGGGTTTGTGTTGAATACTTCATACCAGACATTGCTCATCATGCTGGGCATTGGGAGAGGCAGACAATAAACAAGCAAAATGCAACAACTTTAGGTAGTGAGAAGTAGTGTTCCAGAGTCCTGGTGTGGTGCTGTAAGTGAAGCACTTGATTGCATGTTGGGTTTGAACCACAAGGTTGGTGGTTCAAACCCACCAGCCACTCAGAAACCCTACACATGGTTACTATGAATCAAAAATGATTTGATGGCACCCAATGACAAGTGGTATTGAAGGAGCCCCTGAGTGGTGCAAATGGTTAAGGATTCACTCCTACCTGAAAGGTTGGTGGTTCAAACCCACCAGCCACTCAGAAACCCTACACATGGTTACTATGAATCAAAAATGATTTGATGGCACCCAATGACAAGTGGTATTGAAGGAGCCCCTGAGTGGTGCAAATGGTTAAGGATTCACTCCTACCTGAAAGGTTGGTGGTTCAAACCCACCTAGAGGTACCTCAGAAGACAATCCTGGTGATCTGGTTCTGAAAGATTGCAGCCTTGAAAACCCTATAGAATACACTTCAACTCTGCTCCATGCTCTCTTTGAAACCCTCTTGTATTTTTTGTTTTTGCTTCTTTCAAATTTGCTGAGACTTATTTTTATAGCGTACTTTGAAGAATGCTCGTGAGAAGAGCAAGCATCTTACTGTTGGCTGGAGTGTACCAGAGAGGTTGGTTAAATTAATTTGGTTGATAGTGTTGAACCACAAGGTCGGCAGTTCAAACTCACCAGCCACTCCTTGGAAGCCTTATACAGAGTCACTATGAGTCAGAACCTACTCCATGGTACTTAACAACAACAGCAAGTGTTGTTCAACTCTTCTGTATATTTGCTCATTTTCTATCTAGTTTTTATCTCCACTTGTATCTCTGTGTCACATATTGGTAATTCTCACAATATTGCAAACATTTTCACAATATTGCATACTTAATAGAGTACAGTGTAAACCTCACTTTTACTTGTAACTTTTACATGCTCTGGGAAATGAAAAACTCCATGTGACTTGCTTTACTGTAACATTTGCTTTGTTGTGGTGGTCTGGAATGAACCCACAATATCTCTGAGGTAGGACTGTGTATGTTTGTAATGACTGTATCTTCCTGAGGACTCTACTCTTTTATCATTATAAAATGACCCTGTTTCTAGTGACATAATTTGTTTTTTAGACTCTTTCTGCCTGCTATTAGTATAGTTACTCCAGTTTCTGTCGACAGAGCCTCTTCAAGCTGTTGTTTTGTTTTTTTTTTCACGAGATAATATTTTGAGCAGATACAATTATTTTCTTTTTTCTTGCCTGGTCCCATGTATAACAAAGCATAAGCTTTGCTAGTCTAGCCAGCAGCGAGTATAGTAATGAGGCAAAGAACCAATGGCTTGTCCTCTTAAAGCTGGATCTTGATTCCCTAAGTAGGCTGACCAGCTGAATCTGAAGAGAATTTGCAGCACAGTTTAATTTAAAAGCACTTTCTTTCAAAGCTGCTTTTTTCTTCACAACAGCAGAGTTCTGGCAGTGAATGAAGTGTTCTAGGATTTGATAATATTGTGCCTAATTTCTGGTTCCAACCTGGAATTTAAAACAAAGTATTACTTATTTTATATGATACTAGCTCTTAAAAACATACTGTTCTTTTAATAACAATCACACAGAGTAACAAGATAATGTATAAGATTTAATACAAAGGAATCTATTTAAAAGCGGTGCAACTTTAGATCTAGTTAAAAAGTTATTTCTTTGGTTCAGTCTCTGCTCTTAAGTCAGTCATATTATTGAATTATACCAAAAGATAAATAAAACAGAAGTCACATAAATTTGCATTTTAATATCCGAATTCCAGACCTCCTGCCCTTTAAGTCCTGCATCGTCAGGGGTGGGCCAGTTGATATCAGTATCAAATCACAGTTTTTGTCATCCATATGCACTGGAATGCTCTCTTATCTTACTAACCTCCTGGCCAGTTACTATCAGTTCTGCTTATCTCAAGGTTGAGTACAGCAACTGTTACATTCATGTTTTAGGAACCAAACACCTGTGTTTCAAAGATAGCATTGTAACAAAAACTTGATTACCTACAGTTCGGTGTCCTGTAAGTGTTTTATTTATATTAACTAACATTTTAGTAACTCTCAGAGGCATGTGGATACTATTATGCTTCTCAAGCAAATGAATGATCTTACTCAGTTTTGTACTTCTCTTTCTTGTTCTATTCTGCTTCCCATAGTGTTTTAAGAGATGAACAGTTCCTCAGACCGAGGAGTCCCTGGGTGATGTAAACAGTAAATTTACTCCACTGCTAACTGAAAAATGGAAGGTTCAATTTCACCCAGAGGAGCCTTGAAAGAAAGACATGGTGATCTACTTCTAAAACATCACTCATTGAAAACCAAACATCATTCAATGAAGATGTTTTCAGAGCAAAACAATATTACTCTTGGTATTTAGAGTGAGTTAGAACCACCTTGACAACAAACTGGTTTTTTCTTGTTTAGGAAAAGACTAACATTTCATTAATCCAGAGATCATAGTTTCCATCTCTGAAGGCTCTCTTCTTGTTAGTGTTGAGTCAGAACTGGCTCAGAAACTTTGTATAGTTTTTCTGAGGTTTGAACTGCTGACCTAAGTGCTTATCCTATAGTGGTCAAACCAGTGCTTAATAAATGTTCCTTAATAATTGGAGTATTGGTGTGGTGCTATAGGGTAAGCAAGCACTCGATCATAATGTTGGTTTGAACTTCAAGGTCGACGATTCACACTCACCAGCTGCTCCTCAGAAACCCTATACAGTGTCATTATGAGTCAGAACTGACTCAGTGTCATTTAACATGTTACGGTGGCAGCATGGTTAAAATGCTCAGCTGCTAACCAAAAGCCTCCAATTCGAGCCTACCAGCTGCTCCCCAGGAGAAAGCCTTGGAAAGATGACAGCTTTGGAAACCTTATAAAGCCTTTCTGTTCTATCCTGTAGGGTCTCTATGAATTGGAATTGACTCAGTGGCAGTGGGATTCAACATGTTAATCAAGAGAGACTGGTTCCTGGGAAAAGACATCATGTCTGGTGAAGTAGAGGATCAGTGAAAAAGATGAATTGAGATGAATTAACACAGCAGCTGTAGCAATGAGTTCAAACATAGCAATGCTTGTGAGGAGGACGCCGGCCAGGCATTGCTTCTGTTTCATTCTGTTGTGCACAGAGTCACTATGAGTGAGATCTGGCTCGATGGCACCGAACAACAACAAAGAAATAAATGATTGATATTTGAGGAGGCTTCAAAAACTCGTGGAAAAATTCTGTTATCTTTTCTTTCCATTTTTCCATGAACTTTTTGAAGCCCCTTATAAGGTGAGAAAGAATTTTACCTGAGGAAGAATTTCCTAAGTATTAACCACTCCCAGGACAAAGTTGTGGGTAGATAATTGGAGTGGTGGAATTGCCATAAAGTCAATTAAAATAATTACAAATGAAGGGGGGAAATTCCCTTAATAAAGATTTTTTTATATGCTGAGTGACTCAGCAAGAGTGACCCGACTTGCTCTTAATTCTTACTGAGGGCATTTATGGATTTGATAATGTAGAAACATTGCTGTCCTGTATGCAGGTAAGTAGGAAAGGTGAAAATGTGAGCCTGGGAGCACCCCTGTAAATTCTTCATCCTACCTCCAGGCACAAAGCCCCCAGCCCAACTTAGCTGGTTCTCAAGTGTCCCCTGGAATGGCAAGTACACAAGAGATGTTGATCTGAAACTCAAAACAAGGTTTTTCTCAGAGTTAAGAGTCACTGACTTGACTTACCAGTCTTGTAAAATGGCAGAGAATAGTCTCTTTCATAAGTCGTTTCTTTATACCATGGTTCCACAGGCTTTGAATTTCTTCGGAAACAAATGTATCGAATGAGACTTTGTTGGTCAAATTGAGGCTGAGGGTGACTTTTTTCCTTGGCTGGACTTGTCAGGTCTATGAGAGGTCTAAATGAAAGTAGAAATGGCTTGCTCAACACCCAGTAGAAGGAAAACATTTCATTGTCTGATCAGTTGAAATCCATTCCCTGGAAGTGGCCTTGAATTTAACAAGACAGTAGGAAGTAATAGGAAGCCTAAAGCTCCCAGGGCAGCTCTAGCAAAGTTGTCAGTAGATGACTCAGGGCATTCAGTACCACTTCCCCGTCTAGCATCCCTCCTCCTTCCCAGTGTACAAATCACCGAAGACCAACTGCATCAAACCTTCCTCTGGATTTGCCAACATCTCCCTGGTTCCCTTTCCCATTGTAATTTGTTGATAGATGCCTGGTTTTCTCAAGGGAGCAACACTTTCTTCTATCCAGACTAACCACTACCATGCATCTCAGGGATTGATGAACTTGTTTTAGACTTCCTGTACCCACACCCAGATTAGTATCCCTGCAGGTCAAAGTAAAGAATCAAAATGTCATGATGAACTATCTTCATACACTTATAAGGTATACATTGGTACAACCAGTTTCAAAACAATCTTGATGAACTGTATTAAAACCTTTAAAATGTACATACATTTTGTCCTAGCAATTCTAGCAATAAAAGATGTCAACAAAGATAACTGTGCATCTAAGTGTTTTTGTATAAATAATAGAATGGAAACAAATTATGTGAAAAAAAAAATGGAGGCGTTTACTTAGACTGATGGGTACATATGTAAGAATACCATGTTCCCATTTAAAAAATGATAAATTTTGAGATTTGAAAAAAGTTCACAATATATTAACATTTTTACAAAAAGGTTTCAATTGAATTTGTACACTTTAAATGGATGAACTATATAGTATGTGAATTATTTTAATAAAGCTGTTACCAAAAAACCCCAGCAATTTAAAATACTTTCCTGTTATATTTTAGTATGGATCTGGAAGATTCTGAATATTTATCTCTGAGTAATGAAATTATGGGTGATTTTCAATTTTTAATTAAATAATTTAGAAGACTGTTTTCTAAACATTTAAAT